TTTAACCCTTCTGAGATCTATCGTAATCGCTGCCTTTAACGGTTTGTATACTGACTCCAAGATTAATTTCGTTACTTCGGCTCCGGCTGTGGCTAAGGAGCCAGTGCTTGTAACTGACTACTCTTGATGTCCAAGACGTTCATGAAAATCGCTTTCAGATTGAATTTTTCAAAAACGGAAAGTCGTGTGGTGTAGCATTCACTGATATATACAGAGGATTCTACCATCCTGCAATATCAATATTCAGAAGTAAGTTTTTATAAATTGATTTGGTCATACTAGCTAAACTGAGGTAAGTGTTGAATTTGACCATATTACATAGCACTTCTGAGTTATAGTTAAGAATATATAATGGCTACATTCTCAGATGCCACAGTGAGGTGTAATTTCGGGCCGAGGCTTCATCACCTCCCGCAAGGTGCACTACCTATGAGTGCCAGAGTAGAACAGCTCTATGTGGAGCAAACCCTAAGTGATATTATATTTCTTGTTTCCAACGGGCATGTGTAATTTATTTCATGATGATCTCTACTTTCTCAAGATGTTTATGCCTCTTGTAGTTTTTGTTGTACATATGTAGATTGATAATTTATCAGCCTTGTGTGTCGTTTAGCAAATAAAATTTCTCTTCACTGAACCATTCTGATGACAGTGTCTTTTTTCATGAATATTGAGTAATTTCGGTAAACGTTTAGCATAAATTCTTGCTTCATTAGCGTTAGTTTAGTGCATGCAATCTGCTGTGCGTGGTCTAACAAGGAAAATGATTAAAGTGATCCCTATAAGAGCGTTGGATGATAACTATATGTACTTGGTCTACAGTGAAAAGGATTCAAAAGGCTTCGCCGTAGATCCGGTTGAGCCGCAAAAGGTCAAGGCGGTTGCGGAAAACTGTAAGGTAAACAATTAGTCTCATTGAAGCTATTGATACTTTTGGCAAGGATACACTAATAATTTTACACAAATTGAAAAACTCGTATCCAACACGAAATAAGTTTGATAGGTGTGTACAATTTGCTTACCTGGTCCGTATACCTTATTTGCTTTGATACTTTGATGGTGCTGAGGCAGGCGGCCTTCTCAACAGTGACCTCACCTCTAGCATAACCCCCGATTTCTGGCGACTTGCATCGAATGTGGGCCGCGTTCTCTGAAATACATAGAAAAGGAGTGGGCACGGGGTCAGCGGTCGTCTTAGTGGCCTTGGTTGTTCCTTGAGAGCCACTCTGTGACGTGGAGGCTCCAACTGTCATCACTACGGCGAACCCTCCCAGCTTTGTCCGTGTAAGTGCAAATTCCGAGCATATTCTTCGGTAACATTTTGTGAAGGAGTCATTCATATGTGCCTTGCATCATTTCAAGACTAACACATTTTGAAGCAGAATCTTTGAGTAACTGTTTAGAAATTTTGAATTTTGAATTGAATTGAATAGAAATTGGCACTGTTACAACCACGGTGGATGAGGACCATTCACTTAATTCCCGTCTATAAGGACGTTTATTGGTGGCAGTCATATGAAAACGACGTTCGCTTCTAGTGATGCTCCAACAGGCGCAGTTTGGCTTCTACTTGGGCTTAAGTTTACGTCAAGAATAAAAGTCATATGTATTTGCAATCAGGGCAGTCACTTTCCCTTTATAATTGAAACTTCACAGGAAAGAATGCTATGTTTGGCCCTTAATATCTAAGTGAGAAATAAAATAATTGTTTGGTAGAGGAATTAGTTGAAGTATGAGGGCCATGGTACTTAAAGTATGTCGACACGTAAACATTGGGTGAACTGTTCCGTATCATGGGAGAAAAGTTTTTTGCAGGGAAAGATCGTCATTATCGCATCAGCAAGAACGTTGCTTTACTGTTTACTCATGTCCGCTCAATGAGTTCCGCAGAGTTGCGCCACGCGCGTTTCGAAAATTACAAATGACCATGTGCCGGGGGCTTTGAGAGAACGCCTTCCATAATCTTTAGAAGGTGTAACACAGCGGAAGGAGACAAGATGAAACTTGCGATTTTTTGGCATAATGCTTGTTCATTCCGAACTCTTGTGAATGCCAGAAATTGGAAAAGACTAGCGATCCACTTGCGCATTGAAAAAAGTACGCCCAAGTAATGGTTTGGTGGATTACCTGCACCTTTTTGTTGGTCTTATATTATCCGAATCTATACCGCATTCTGATATTCTGGGCGCATTCATAGTCGTCGTCCGATCGTAACCTATATGCACCTGCATTGGATATGTCGCGATCGCCCCAGACGGGGTTTGGCAGGATTGGGCGATGGATTAACGCATCCAATGCCTGTGCAATAACTGTGATCGTTGCGAGCGGACCAACGACTATGAATGCGCTCTTGACATGAATTTGTCCTTTTCTGAGCTATGATTTCAAGGAAAGCCGTGGCAAATACGTTTCATTTAAATTATACTTTTCTGATTTCCTGGGTGTCAGGTCATCTGTCAACCGTGCTCGGCGTTCCACTTTGTAGTGATATCCCTAGCTCTCACAAGTGCACACTATCACAGCATCTCCTACGCTCTCCCCCTATGGTTGACAGAAGCCTTGTAACCGATTTCCTGCTGTGCTTACTTGAGCGTTTAGGTAACAGTGGCGGCGGCACTCGTCACCATCACCATTGGGATCATGCAGGAGGAATGGCTGAGTTTAGAAAAAATTTGGAAAGCGGGGAATGCGTGAATTATATGGCGGGTGAGCGACGTATTGATCATCTTTAACATAAGGTTGACGCATGAAGAAAATCACCGTTTGGACAGTGGAGTGGCGCCAATGGATTCTTCTTCCAAGTGAATATGATTTGTGCACATCTAATCATGCATGCTCATTAAGGTCCAGCCTTGACAATCTTGCTCATACGAAGGCACATTTTGTGTTACTATGTTACTCATCCAGACAGCGACAGCCGCATCGTTCTCACTGGAGATACGCTCTTCATAGCCGGCTGTGGAGAAGTTCTTCGAAGGTATTGATAATTCTTTCCAATTTTGAATGTCGTAACTGAATTTACAACATGAGAAAAATTTCTCCCATTGCTTGAAATATTGAGGAGAAATGGAATTCCGGATGATTAACAGATACAGATATCCATCTCTTAGGTTTGCCTAAGGGGTTTCAGATAGAAACCTGCCAAAATCGTCCAGTTTTTTTTGTCCCTCCGAGATTGGCTGATTCATTTGGGAAAGTACGAGCTCTGAATCTTACACTACTTATCTTTTACCAATCTCTTTACTGGCTAGAAACGCATGGAAACGCCACGGTTGTTTACGGATTTGAATGCTGGTCCCAGAAGAGATCTCACAGATTCTGATTGCTTCAGCATTTTTTGCGTTTTCTTGAGTAAATTCAGCACCACCTTCACTCTCAGTCCTGATTTGGTGATTTTGCAGTTTGAACTCGGGGATTTTAAAGCAAACGTGATTGATGGTAAAAGTTCTTGCTTCACGAAAGGCCCGGTATGCTTTCGTTCGCTTGTCTGGATTAGCTGTCTAAAGCTCTTCTCTTCTCTTTTGGTCACTTCTCTGTATTAACTGTTCAGATTCTTTTCTTCTTTTCAGTTTTCTTTCAAGCTTTCTTTTGAGTTTTGTCCTCTTCCTCACCCTCGTCTTACTTTCCTCCTACAAGTTTTGTGTCGGTTGTGATCTCTAATGATTCACTCGATTAATGGTACGGTAGTGGTCCAAATCAATATCGAAAAAATACGAAAAACTTGAAAATTTCAGGAACTGCTGCCGAGATGCATCGCAACCTTGAATGAAGTACTGGCCAAATTGCCAGATGACACCCTTGTCTATCCAGGGCATGAGTACACCTACAGTAACTTGAAGTTTGCCCAGCACATTGAGCCAAGCAATGAGGTGCGTTCGAGAGCTTGAAATCGATTTATTTCTAAAGAATTGAATTCTTTGTTTTTCGTTCAAGCTCTTCTCACTCCAGCCAGTTGCAGTTTTCGTTACAGAATGTGAAACGTAAATTGGAATGGGCTGCCCGTTGTCGCGAACGAAATGAACCAACGGTTCCTTCGACTATTGCTGAGGAAAAGGAGATAAATCCATTCATGAGAACTTCATCGCCTGAAATCCAAAAGAAAGTCGGTGCCACAGATTTGATCGACGTGATGGCCCGTGTGCGACAGGCGAAAAACAGCTTCAGAGGGCTGAAGGTTGACTACTTTGATATTTTATAAAGCATCTCTAAACTGCTGTACCTTGTATGTATACTTTGTAGTACCTATGTGGCTTCTTTTTCGATAAAGCACTTATCACGGATTTTTCCAGTCTCAAATGGACGTCTTATCGTTGTCAATACATACACGTATTTGTGAATTCTTAACGTAGCGCTGGTTGAAAAGCTTTCTCACTAGAGACATGAACGATTCGGGTGATCTGAGGGACGATCTCAGTCTAGCTCAAGGAGCTGTTTTGGTGAAGTCTTGTGAGGTAATTATTGGTACGCTTTTATAAGCCTAGCCTTTCACCAATATGAAAATTAGGCTGTTGTCGAATCGTACAAAAGCTTGTCAAATTACCCAGCTTTAGCGTTGCTCATCAGCTGTCAGCTTCCTCTTCTCTTGACCCTTTTTGTTCGGAGCAACAACCCTAGATGGACCCATATTTCTGCTCCTGAAGGTGTGAAAAGATACGTGAGCCTAGCCGAGGACATATGAAGTGTTTCTGAGGCAAACCAGCTTCAAAATAGTTGCCTTGAAGAGCTGGATAGGTGCCATCTGTCCATCTGCCATTTGTTTTGACACAGCCCATTTGTAGCTGTGAGGATCATCGCTTTGCTGCGCGGACATGCTGCGATTGTTTGAGGATTGACTGCGAACTTAGATCCATTTGAAACGGCACCAGCAATACCCGTGATGCGCCAGAATCCTGCTGACCAAACGTTTTGCCGTTCCCGTCTCAGCTGTTGAGAAATCTGAATGTTGAAAGTTGTGTATGTTTCTTCTTTTCTCTCAAGCAATGGGGAAAGGAAATTCAGCTGCAGGTTTCAGTAGTTATGGTTTTTAGCAAGCACTTTCGCGCAACTCTTCCGCCCCGCCCCTTCCTTATTTCGAGAAGGAATTGAGGGTGCCCTTTTTAAGGGTTTCATTGGCGGTTTTCTGTACTTCTTCTCTCACTTTCGGTCAACTCGGCATCCGCCACGTCACTGGCCGATCTACTTTTCCCCACATATCGATCTAAAGTTGTGTGCTTCCAACAGGTGCATTGGTGCGAAAAATGGTTGCCCATTGGAGGAGGGAGTAGAGGTCGTAGAGGGTGCCCGACTGGTCAATAAAAATCCGAAAGGAAACAGCTTATGGACCCCTTTTTCCCTTTGATCTGCTTCAGACGAACCCAGTGACGCAAAGGCGAGCCCGTTCGGCACGTGCCACTCGCAAAAAGGCGATATGATGCCAAAAAAATATCGCCTTTCATTAATAACACATAAAAGAACTACAAGGAACGGCCGCTGAGCATGGATCCCTCTCAAAAGGCAGAGTGAAGCCCGTGGAGAAAACGGACTGGATCGCGGCAGGCGGCAGTGTGCCTACCCTCTCCTTCCGTATCCCATTCACCGGAACATCCTCCTTATTATCGCATGGTATAGGGAGTAGGGTAACCGAAAGTGCGACAGAATTGAAAATGTATTTTGAAGAATATAAGTAAGGAAAAAAGAGATAAAAGTGATTAAACGTAGTCGTTTTGATTGTTTTATATGCTCGAAGTTGTCACACAGCCGCTTTTTTCACTTTTACTACAATTTGGCGAGAAAATTGAGAGGGTGCGACTAGAGTTTTTCACAACAAATACCAGTAATTCAGGAATTCGTTCGCATTGCACAGTCCCACGTCTGTTGTTCTCCGGATTCAGATCTTCGCTCCTATATAATTCCACCATGTGCAGCACGCGGCCACACAGAGGCAAATGCGTGCTGCACATGGTGCAATGCAATGGGTTAAATGTTCAGAGACATTGCGAGGTTCTAGAAGTCTGTAGCAAAAATCTCAAAGGAAGGGTAAAGGTAGAAAGCGTGCCAAAAATGATGAATTCTCTCAAAAAGTTTTTTACAGTGAACTTTGGAAGTCTAGAAGGCACCTTTCCAATAGTTGTACGTTATCAGTTTTACATGATCATATTGAGCCACGGGAGCCACCGCTGTGTTCCATAGTTTTGAGTTGGATCACTCAATTCGCTGGGGGTTCGCAGATGCTTAAAACGATGTCGTGCTACACGAATTGTTAGAAAAAAAGAGAACATCTCTCTTGTCTCCCCTGTATGGGCGAAGCCGAAGCAGTGGCAGATGGCGTTCCTATCGCACGGACGGTCAAATCTTGAAATAATCTTACCTATTACAATCAAGCGTTTCGTTTTTCTGAAACCATCATTTGGAAACCAACTTGTCTGAACTTGTCTGACTAGTATACCTTCCAGTCCTGCAACTTTTATTTAGGGATGGTGCGAGTTCACTCTATTTGTTACCTTGTTTCTGATGAGAAGTCGAGCGCATGGCGCATCGTAAAGCGTACTGATGAGTGCCATAAGCTGTTTTTCTTCAAGTTGGAGTTTCTTCAGTTTTTCCTTTAAGTTTCATCGTCGGTGTTCTGAAAAGCTGCGATTGTCGATGAAGGGAGCAGGCGTATTCAAATTTGATTGGAGAGCTCTAAAAGGAGGTAATGACTGTCCAAATCGGCTGGCACTTACAAATTTGGCGAAAAAATGTGCCTTAAAGAGGGATTCAGAAAGGCATTGAGTACTTTCCGAAAAGAGTTCGATTGTTGTATCTGAGAATTGGTCATGGGAGCAGCTCACGGAAGAATGGTGAGAAGGGACATGCGATCTCCAGGGCTAAAGGATAAAGGATAAAGCATTTGCCGTTGATCAATCCCTTTTTGGGATGCACGCATTCTACTTCCATTTGTACATTCGTAGTGGCGTTTGAATGCGATGTGGCCTATACAATGACTTGCGGGGGCCAGCCGATGTACAAGTCAGTGTTTTTATCCTCCCGGAATCGGTAAATTGGTACAAGGCAAGTCTGGTACCAATTTACTGATTCCAGAAAGATGGAGGGTCTGGTTGACCGGGACGCACGACCCAGAATTTGATCCTTGGACCGCGCGTGATATGCAGCGCTTTTGCCACTGCACCACTTATTTTTGGGACTAGAATTTGAGACTATTTCCCAAAATTTCCTGATCGGTATTCTGTTGCTTCTATGAGGATCATAACTAGAGAATCAATTGAACTGTATAAGGTTTTTGCTTGACTGTTTCACAGAACTTTCTCTACTGTCATTGACAGTTAAAGGAGGAATTCACGATTAGAATGAAGGTCGAAGAAGGGTAATTCACCTAGTTGAGGGACCCACGGACCTCCTGAGGGTGCGAACTGACGCGCAATTCGCACCGAAAAATTTGACCTCGGCGACCTATTAAGCTCAATCTTGGCGCGGTGGGAGTGCCGCCCACCGATCATCTGATCACTCGCCACAGGTCTATACGTGGCGAGTGATTAGATAGCTGAGAGAGCGTAGTGTTGAAGAGGGCACAGCGATGATAGTCGCATCAATGCTCAAATCAACGGGCAAGGAAGGGGTCCCATTTCTCGGGTTCTGGGCCGTTTCTCATGGTTCTTCCTTCTTTGGTGTACCACTCACCATCCCCTCTAAGGTTAATTTGAAATGGGTTGCCTATTTCAGGGCGTTAATATCGCCTCTAAGGCGGCGGGCGCCGCGCGGCGGGCGCGCCCGGGGGGCTACCCAAAGATGCAGCAGATCATTCGTGGTGAGGCGATTTCAACGACAGGCGGTGGCATTTCCACGAAAGCTGATGCGTTCGTTATTTTCTACAGGGATTTCAAGCGGACATGCTAGCGAAAGCGATAAAGGATTTTTTCCTTCCACATTCTTTAGCCTTTGCATTAGAAGGGCTTTGTCGAGGGAGGTGCAAGCGCAGATGTTGAGGATGAGGGACGAAGTTGAGGGAGTAGGATAGGTGATGACAGCAAGAAATGTCTCCAATATCCTATCTGCAGCGACGCGTATCCTCGTTGGTACGAATTTCTGTCTGGCCTACACCTTCGAATCCGTCAGAGTAGCGGACTAGAGAGAGGTTTGTGCTGAATAAAGCCAGCTGTAGACATTTTTGGCCTCTGTGGGAGGTCCAGGCATCTTATTACGATGGGCTAATAGGGGTTAGAAATCGGACGGCAAGTGGAGCGTATGAGCGGCAATACTAGGACGTCACTTATCCTCCGCGTACTCAGGGGATCAGAATCAGGGTCAGCCGACCGTCCGTTGGACAAAGTCCAACGCATGGCTCTCTAGCGTGTGAGAGTAATGCCGAGAGTGAACGTACGCACGGAGACACAGACGGCTCGCGCAAGGCGAGTGCGAATGCCGGCGCGGAGAGCGGTCAACGTCGGTCCAACGTCGGTCCAATGTCGGTCAACGTAACGGTTGACCCTGGAATCAAACACAGGATCGTACGCCTTCCTAGCCAACCAAGCTTTCCAACCCTCCGGAAGAGTTAGTTGGTACCAGACTCATTAGGACACTGAATCCTGACATCGCACGCGCACAGCCAAGTATCTGCCAATTAGGTCCGAAGCCAATGTTACGGTTCTAAGTGGAAGTTAGAACGCTTGGCGCACCCAAGGAGCGTATTGTCACGGGTGAATGCTGAGCCTTCGGGGATGAAATAGGGTGGAATAATGTTTCAGCAATCAGGAACGAACTCTGACGTTGATAATGTGTAATAAACCAAACTCAAAGCCGCAGAGTCCATGGCTATGGCACCGAGGCAGCGCCGCCTGAATGGTGAGAGGGCGGGCAGAAGCACCGTTCAGCGCGCTCAGTAGTTTGGTGGCAACAAGGTCTTCCGATCGCGGCTCCTCTACAGCGGCCGGAAGATGGTGGGGGCCAGGTCCGACCCATCCAGGGAGGGGGGGGGACGTTGGCATATAGCTCAAATTTGTGAGAAAGAAAAGATGTATTCACGGCGGGGCTCCTCGGGGTATTGGAAAAGCCCAGAGGGGTACGGTAATTTATGGAGTTCCTTGTGGGCGAACCTTTTGCCGGTACCTGCTGCAACAAATTGATGCGACAATTTTTTTAATATGAAACTGCCGCTTATCGAATGAGAATTCACCTAGGGAAATTGGGAAATTCTTTGAGAAATCGCTGTAAGTGTTGATTATGCTCTAGAATGTTCGAATCTGAGAATGATTTTGTTTCCTGAAAGTGCTCCTAATCTTTTAGGATACCATTTTAGATAATTAGATTTGTGGTCCAGCACAATCTCGTGGACTGTGTGGTGACGAGTGCTGGCGGAGTTGAAGAAGATATCATTAAATGCCTCCTACCTTCATACTTAGGCGATTTTCGCATGGACGGCAAAGATTTGCGGTTCGTTCTCTAATACTTTCGACTACTCTTTACAAATTATAGCCCAATAACATGGCGTGCGAACCAGGGTGAATATCGCTTGAGGATTCCTCAACGGCACGTCGAGGATTCTCTGCCCGATCAGACACGATCTCTCGCGCGGACATTCACACTCGCCATGCGCGTGCCGTCTGTGCTCTCCGCGCGGATGTTCACTCTCGGCACTACTCTCGCATGGTAGAGAGCTATGGTCGAGGAAATTCCTCGACCGTTATTCACCCTGGTCGAACCACATTTGGTCATGATTTCCAATTTTCCTACGAACTTTCCAATCCAACAAGCCTACCGACCATGCTAATAATATGGGTTTAGATTGTGAGTATGCAAATGGAGCGAATATTCATCGCATCCGAGTTTTAGGGTGTGAGTCACTAGAACAGAAAGCGGTTTTCGTTTTCCGCTAAGCGAAACCCTTTGCCGTAGGAACCCCGGGTCTACCCCTGGTCATAAGTGTATCAGCGATCTGGGGTTCTTGCAGCGAAAAAAAGCTTGGGCTGCAAAAAGCGGAAAAAAAGTTGCTCTCTGCCCTAGCGATCTACACTCCAGTTGCTGAAGACTTTAAAGGCAATGGTCGGCATTAGGCGACTAAACCATTCCCTTCCATCGCCTCTGTGCGTGAGTACGCACCCACAGAGATGAGATCACGCTCGTTAATCCCGAAACAGCGCGGTAATAAGGCCCTGGGGAAGTATTGTTAGCTATCGCCGCCTGGCGTTAGCTATGACCGCCCACCGGGGAGATGGTGCGTGGCTGGCATAGGGCGTGAAATCAGCTGGGTGATTGCCGCCGTATCAACTGCTGGCACGGGGCTTACTAACCCGTCAACTCGTTAGAATAAGCTTCCTTGCAATGCTCGTCCTCTCTGCTTCTGTTGGAAGGAGGGGTTCTATTTTTGGCCTTGCCGACGGTTTCTTTTCGTTTTTTCTTCACTGTTGTTCCATTTCGCGCCTCTATACTCAGTTTCAAGTGCCATAATATTCCAAATCGAGCCCGACCTTTGCCTTTAAGTCGCGTTCAGAAACGGCTGATGCAAAGATTCGGCGATTTTTTCACTCTGGTATTTTGACTACTTTTTTATGTCACTGTTTATGCCCTGTAGTACTATTTGCCTGTGACTCGGCCTGTATAATGAATTGTGGAAGCAAGCTGATTGAAAAGCCAGTGCTCTTATCCTCTCAGATTAGTATTCAAACAATGCTTTCACAGGAGCTGGCCCGTGTAATAAATCAAATCAAATTAAATCAATGAATCAATGAATCAACCCAGGAGGGAATCATGCCTTGGTTGGCATGGGGAGGACGAGCCGGGATTTCACCTTCAGTCCTCGTGATTGGTAATCGTTACCACTTGCCTCTAAGCCGCCTCCATCCAACCACTGCGTTTGATAATCCATTCAGTATTTGGACTTGTAATTGAAAATTCAAAGTTAAAAAAGTAAAGTAAAATTTCAAAGTAAAATTTCTTGCATAGTGGAGACGCTCCACCTCCTTGTTGCCTAATTGCATAAATTAGCCGTACATGCATTGTTCTGATCAGCGTATGGAATAAGCTTATAAAATCCCAGTGACGGTTGCTTAAACTAAGAAGCGCGCGTTTTACCGTATCCGCTGCGGCCGCGGAGTTCGGTGAAATTTCTAGGGATCTTATCTAGCAAATTCAAGAGAAGAACCCACTGTATAATGCAGAAGAAATCTTATCGGATAAACTGGAAAAGAAAATGAATGAAAAACCCAATAATTGTTTACGAAATGCGAGCTGAAAGGTCCTATGCGGTCGGAGGACTGCAGCCCACATATGGGCTGCGTGGGCTCCAAGGTGTTAAACTTGGATTTTATTTTCGAAAAATTCCTTTTCGCTACAGCTCGGCTGCTCTACGATGAAGAAATCTTCCCAGACGTTCAAAATTCTGAGAGAATTATTCGAATTCCAGTTGAAGATGGTCTTCTGGTTAACGCGCACCCAAATATGCCTGGTGACTGCTATGTGTCCATATATATAACTACACATGTAGGGGGAGGGACTGTGTGATAAAGTGGTTTTGGAGGTGCGAAATTATCGACGATTAGTGATCGATCCCTGTCCAACGCAGTAAGAGCTAACCCCCTCTCTTGCACAACAAGATTGCAACGTCGAGTACAGACCGTACACCACAACTGACGACGGTCTTTCGAAAATGTATATTTTTCTGCCAGTGAAATAATCAGTCTGATGCGGTTTTATTCTTTGTTGTCACTCATTGAAAGATGTTTGGCAATTATCAGCTATCGCTATAACACTAGTAGCCAAATTTGATTAGTGGATGTCGTCACTTGTGGTGTGTGGTCTGCACTGGACGGGCATCTGGTTCCGAAAACGGAGTATATTTCTCAGAGTCGGTCAATTTACAACGACCATGAGGCATTTAAGTCTAGCAATTAAGCCCAGGCACCTGGCACTCCAGGGTGTTTAGTGGCTTTGAACCCACTCAAGCTTTCTACGATTTTGTAACGAAGTCAATGCGTGACCTACATCTAAAGTATCGATCCAATTCAATCTGTTGATCCTATGTATTTTCTTCTTTACTTGCTCACACTTTCTTTACCAACGGAATATCGAGATTTTGAAGATTTCAGCTCACGTGGGTTAAATCGCGCTGGCAACATCCTAATACCGAATGACAATTATTGTGCGTTTGAAGATTGGTTGTCACCAATACTTGACGAATGCCTGAAAGAGCAAGAAGAGCGTGGATACAGCTGGACTCCTTCGAAACTTATACGAAGGTAGGCTTTTAATCTCTGTGATTGACGTGCCTTATTACGTTGATCTCTGTGATTGGCCGCTTATAGAATACAATTTCTGGCGCTAATGTCCTTGGAGGGGGGAGGAACATTCAAAGTAGGGTGTCTAGAAATCGCTGATAGATGACACTGGGACTAAGCCCAAGAGAGGAGAACGCCAGGGAGAACAAAAATTGCTGACGTGCTCTCCCAGAAGCCTTTCTCCTCCTTGAAAGCCAAGTCCCAGGTTCTGTGAGTGGTTCACTCACTTGAATATCCCCTCCTCTTCCCTCCCCTCCAACGACATGAGCGCCCAATTTTTCTTTGCAATAATTAGAAATCTAAATTTTTATTGGTCATACTTCAGATTAGGCGAGAAGATAGATAACGAAGATTCTATTCTCTACTGGGCAGCACGAAATCATATTCCCATTTTCTGTCCAGCATTAACAGATGGAAGCCTCGGAGATATGCTGTATTTCCATTCAGTTAAGAATATGCCAGGAATTCGGGTAGACATTGTGGAGGTAAGTGTATCTGCATTCTTCTGTTTGAAGCGAATGCTGCATAGCGTATTTCGCCGGTTTTCCTAAAGCCCAGGAAGGAGCGCAACCTTGTCACTTCTTTGCCGCTGTTTTTTTTTGAGCGTCGAAATTATTATTGAGAATCAGTTACTCTGTGGTAAAGTATGAGATAATAGGCAAAGTTGCCTCATTCCAAATTTTCCCCCAACGACTTAGGTTTTCCCCAGTTACTGGGATGGACTTTCTGCTTGTTAAAGTCGGTACTTTGTTTGGACCGGGGTCAAATAAGCGATGTAGTGGAGGTGCACATCTTACCACATTTTTGTCATTTCGCTTGGTTTTTTCTGGGTTCACGCTTCGCGAAACGAATTTCACTGGTCGCTGCTACGACACTCCAGTAAAAGTGCCCCTACTAAAGCAGTTACTTGAATCCTGCTTAGGTGAATCAGGCCAGGCATCATTGGCTTCAGCTTATACTACCAGGTAAATTGAGGGAGATAAGGACTGTGATTTGAACATTGATTGGCAACCATCATTACATGGCTAACTAAGGTCGAGTAATGCTTAACAATGCTGGTGTTTCGTCTTCTTCCCCTTTTTCAGACTGAAAAGAAAAATCGAGACGAATCCCTCAAAGCTTCAAGGCTCTGAATAAGAGCATCACAAATGTTGGAGGGCTTAACACATGTGAATGAATTTTCAATGCAAAAGGTCAAAAGAGACTTGCGGCCAATCTTGGCATCCTACTTACTATAAAGCGCTTCGTCTGTCGTCTGTCGTCTGTCTGTGTGTCTGTCACGAAATTCCCTAGCTCCTCGGGATCCCGCCTGGAGGGACCGGGTCAAGTGTGGGATGGGTGGGCAAGGTCTCACGTAATACAAAACACACATCAGCTAAGCGGAGCCCCGCCCACAGAGGGCGTGGCGTGCGTCGAAATGAATTGTACCGAAGACCAAGATTTCGATTTCAGTGACAAAACGACCTCGAAACTGGGCCAAAAAGTGGGTAAGGTGTGCATTGGTAAGTCACATCGAATTAGGGAGACCCACCCCCGGTGGGCGGGGCGTTCTCTAAAAAAGCAGTGCTTTATGAAAAATTTCATAACTCGGTTGGGAGAAAGCCTACAGAGCAGAAAACAATTTGGTGTAAGGGAGCAATGTCTAAGGTGTTTCCTGCATACATGACGTGGGCGGAGGCCCGCCCAGAATGGGCGGGGCGCGCTCTGAAGTGTACAGCATTTTCTACAAGCCCTCATAATTCGGGTCGGGGAAGTCTTAAAGAGCCGGAAAAAGGTGGATAGAGGTGTATGGAGGAGTGGAGGCCAGCTGTCAATGGTGGGCGGGGCTTGACCAAAGTGGGCGGAGTTTGCGACGAAAATTCATAACTCGGCTCCAAGAAGTCCCGGAGGCCGGGAAAAAGGTGGATGGAGGTGGGTGGAGGAGTGGAGGCCAGCTGTCATGGTGGGCGGGGCTTGACCAAAGTGGGCGGAGTTTGCGACGAAAATTCATAACTCGGCTCCATGAAGCCCGGAGGCTGGGGAAAAGGTGGATAGAGGTGGGTGGAGGAGTGGAGGTTAACTGTCATTGGTGGGCGGGGCCTGACCAAAGTGGGCGGAGTTTGCGACGAAAATTTATAACTCGGCTCCATGAAGCTCCGGAGGCTGGGGAAAAGGTGGATAGAGGTGGGTGGAGGAGTGGAGGTTAATTGTCATTGGTGGGCGGGGGCTGACCAAAGTGCGGCGAGTCTGCGACGAAAAATATAAAACTCGGCTCCAACAAGTCCCGGAGGCCGGGAGAAAGGGAGTAGAGGCCGGCAAAGGAAAGGAGGTCAACTGCTATTAGTGGGCGGAGCATGCACATAATTGGGCGGAGTTTGCCAAAAGTGTCGTAATTTGGTTCCAAGAGGTCCCAGAGACCGGTGAAAAAAGGGGTAGAGGTCGGCGAAAGGAAGGGGCCAAATGCTATTGGTGGGCGGGCACGCACGAAGTAGGCGGAGTTTGCCACGAGATTTATTGTGAAGTCCGGAAGCAGTCCGGAGACCGAGAAAAAGAGGATAATGGTTGACGAAGAAAAAAAGGTTGAAAGCCGTCGATGATGGAGCGGATTGAATTTAGCTGAGGATTCAGATATTCGTAGTGTATCAAGCCAAATATGAAAATTTTTGTCGCACCATCAAAGTTCGCAGCAGATCTGTGTTGCGCGCGCAATGCGTGCGGCGCCAACTACTGGTCAAATCCAATAAATACGTAGTTGTTCGAATGGGAAGTAGCTGTAATATTCAATGGTATCAAATTCAAGAATAACCTCTTGTCTCCATATCGTACTAAAATCTGACTATGATGTACACTGCGACGTTACATAATTATAGTTCCACCTACAAATTTCCCAAAAACTTGAAATCTGGGATGTTTTTGGAAAAGGCTCTACAGATAAATTGTGACACATATAAACGCGAATCTGAATATTAACACGGAAATCCAGTTTGAGAAAGCAACAATTTTTTATCCTTATTTTTTCGAAAATATCCGCTTTAGCTTCTCCGCTGCATTTTGCTTTTACCCAATCAAAATTTGGAATTATTATCCATTCAAGTTCCTTAGCTTATAGCAAAGGCAAAACCGCTGTCACACTTCCGTAAAAGGGAAATCCTAGCAAAAGAGACGCAGGAATTGTCAAAGTGTCAGCTCCGCTGGAATTTGTCGGGGTGACTTCATAACGAACAAATTTCTCAAGGATGCTACAGGATATGACTGGGAGGAACCCTGATTACTATCCGACTGAGATAAGCGCCGTATCGTGAGATAAATGAATAACTTCACACTCACATCCGAAAACCGCCCAAGCCGTGGTCCGAGAATGTTAGCATGAACTATAATTATGCGATCGCAGTGTAATGTACACGAAGAGGCAATGCAAGCGAGGGAAAACTTCAAAATGTCGTTGCTCCGCTCTGGGGTGCGCTTCATTGACTATGCGTTAACTAGAAAGTTGTCATTGTCTACCGTACGGTAGGCCCACGAATGCCAATCATGAGCAGAGCAGTCTCTTTTCGGGTCCAGGAAAAGTTCAAGAGATTGAACTCAGCAAGTGAGGAAATAAACGAGCCTTAAGAACGACCAGTACAGTCTCCCGCCGCGCGCTAGCCAGACACGAATCAGAATGGAGGAGAAGGGCACGGGATATTGTGGGACAAGCTGAGCGTAATATCCCGAGCTGTCTGTTTTAGTTTCCGATGTATAGCTAGAGTCATTTCTTTCAACTGTATCATGCAGCTTTTTGAGGTCCCTTTGCCTGAAAATGTACAGCATAGCGGAAGTGTGACATTTGAAATCGAAATGGAGCTGATGTGTTGAAGTTGTGTTTGTTTAGGACGTGCGTCATATCAATACGATGGCAGTGAAAAGCCAAAAGACGGGGACTTTAATTCTTGGAGGCGGAGTCGTCAAACATCACATAAATAATGCGAATCTGATGAGGAATGGCTCGGATTTCACGGTTTATATCAAATACCGGAATGGTGAGAAATTGAACTGAATATAAAATTACGCGGAAAAAATTGATTTTGAACCTCCTGGAGTTCAGAGTTTTTCCTTCTATAAAATCTTTATACTTTGCTGAATATACAGGGGGGGGCCAAAAAAAAGACATTTTGCCTCCACTTCCAGATGGATTTAAGCACATTTTACTCAACTCAGACCGAACGGTTCCAACTTATTATTAAAGAGTGCATTCCATTCTATAAGAAAATCTTCATAGTGGCCACGTACGTGGACGGCATCAGAAGAATTAGCCCTGGAAACATGGTGCACTGGTCGATCTCAATGGGGTCTTCGAAGGATCGTGTACCATAACGACCCTTACTGGAAAGCTAGTTCCGAGGGGATTTGCACAGTGGTAGCTAATGCCTCTAGAAAACTATCCAACATTAAATCGATTCACGAAATTGCGTAAGAGCTTCAGGCTGAAGCTCTTACGGTAGACCTCCTTGAGCCTGACGACGGTGACAGATGACGTCATATTCTGAAGACGGTGAGGGCAGTGAAGGAGAGCCTGCGTACACTAATAGAGGAACACTTAGGGAATACTCTGCTGAGGAACTCCCGTCAACGACAGCAATCTCTGCGAAGAAAAAAGAGCCGAAGTCCGACATAGGCAAAATGTCTTTTTTTTTTGGCCCCCCCCCCTCCCTGTAGTCTCGAGTCGCGTCGGTCACCACGCGCTTGGTATAGAATAGTGGACGTCCTGGGTAAACCCCGACTATGACAACTCGGCTTTGCCATTTCCTCCCGGAATATGATGCTTGTTTCAATCGCTTCAAATAAGACACTTCTTTGACCATCAGCGACCCCTGCGAACCGTTTCCGAGTAAGCCAGTCGCAACCTCAAATATACAATGGCTAATATGGATTAGTAAATGCGCGCGTTAATCCAGAAAGGGAATACACCAATGGCTGACTATATTCAATTCTTCCCCTTATTTGAAAACCCAATGTCATGTTTTGTTTTTTGTGCTATTGGGTTGTGCTCTAGCTATGATTTATGTTGTGATTACAGGAGTTCGATGGCTCAGATTCTGGGGCGCAGCCTGACGAAGCAGTCAGCTGGGGAAAGGTGAGGTTCACGAGTTACTTCTAGGAAGGTGAGGTAATTACACGAAAAATTTGCCGTTCAGGTGAAACCCGCCGCGCATGCGGTGAAGGTGTGCGCAGATGCCACGTTGGTGTTCCCGTTGTTGGTAGCTGAAACATTCGCCAGAAGAGTTCGTAAGAAAGCTGGAACAGCTTCATAGGTTCCTAACGAGGAGTGATGTTTGTTTCACGTTGTTATCGTCACTGATTTAGTGGCTTTTTTTGTTATGAAATAGTAAATATTTATAAGAAGTTGCATGTTTTTGTTGACTTTTTGACAGGAAAAAACTTTTTTCGTCGAATCAAGGTAGCTTCTTCAGCACAGACATCACTTTGTTATGAGTAATGGAAATTATAATTCCTTGATGGTACGTCATTTTGAATCGTTTTCTAGCTGTCCTGAGGGCCTTTGCAGCCGTTCGTGACTAGTGTGGGCTCGGAACAATATAGGTGGTGGACCACAAAATGATCTGGGAACATTTAGAAGACGGAAGTAAAGTAAAGAGCAGGAGGAATACACAGGAGCAGATCACTAGAGAACTCAGGCGACCCGTCCATCAGCTCGCCGGTCGGCCTTGCGCGGTTCCCAGCTTTTTTCTAAGGCCGATGTCAGACTTTGCGAATTGGATCGAGCGTTGCACCAGCGAATCGAGCTGTGTACCAGCGAGTCGAACGATGTACCAGCGACTCAACACTGTTTGAAAGTGGCGGGACCCAACGTTTAAAGGAAGTCCCGCCACTTTCAAACAGTGTGGTCCTTTAAAGTGGACTTCCTTTAAACGTTGGGTCCCGCCACTTTCAAACAGTGTCGAGTCGCTGGTACATCGTTCGATTCGCTGGCGCAACGCTCGGATCCAGCGATTCGCTAGCGAATCGCTGATTCGCAAAGTCTGACATCGGCCTAACTGCTCTCGATCTTCGGGTGTGGCTGTCTAGTGTACGGTCGAATTCAGGGACATTGGATCACATCGTATGCTAAAGAATCTGGCCAATATGAAGGAGGGAGGCCAAGTGGTCGATTCTTCTCGGGTAAGTAGCCCGTGCAGGTGTCCAAGTCTATCGCCAATCATTTTACTTTTCAAGTGCCTGGCAACGGTGCTTCTGAGAAACAGCACAGAGGAAGCACAAAAATCAGGCGGTGTAGAGAGAAGCAAAGAAAAGCAGTGGAACGCAATTACAAAAGAAAGAAGGGATTCAAGAAAGACTGAAGTTTTTTTGTGGGACCTCTCTTTTTGAACCACATCTGAAGTTTTACAAAATGAGCGGCCTCCGGAAAGGGTTTTACTCCTTATCGCATTTAACTTTAGCCATATTTACCCCTTTACCCCTCAAAAAGAGCCGCATGCTGATCGAAAGCGTCCTATGACTAAGGATTTGGGTAAAAAGTTTGGTGTCTTCACCAGGTAGAATTTCAATACAGAGTCAGTTTAGCACGAAAACGTTTGGTGCCCACGACACAGACGTTGGCGCTAGACCACCCTTAGGCCGATGTCAGACTTTGCGAATCGCGCGATTCGCTAGCGTCTGCGGTCGCGTCGCGGCCAGTGAATCACTCAATTGGCTGGTACCGCAACGCGACCGCGGACGCTAGCGAATCGCGCGATTCGCAAAGTCTGACATCGGCCTTAGTCTTTGTGCCCATGCTCGTAGCGCAGACTACAAGCTCATTCGCAACAAACCAGTGTGACATTCATGTGCTATGGGCGAGCTATACCTGAGTCAAGTTTTTAGCGAATTTGGTGATCAAGGTGTTCTAGCCCTTTCGTTTGACTAGAAAAAGCTTGGCGCCAGCACTTCTGGCGCAGGCGCCAAGCTTCTTCACGTCAAACGAATGTGATTTTCGCGCTCTATGGCTCAAACTGCCCCCGAGGGACACTTCCTAACCAAGATGTTCAGTCATGGCCAAAGCTTCGATAGAATGCCAGTCTCAGTTTGGAGTGGGCAGTGAAGCATAAATTGTGCTCAAACCTTTCCCAATAATCTCCAAGTAATCCATACCGGACTTCGAGGCCGAGCTAACCGTTGCAGTAAGAAAACCTGCGGGTGATCCTCCTTGGAGGCCACATACAATCCCCTTTCGCGGAAATTTTTTCTCCAACCCTCTCCCTATCCCCAACAAAAAGCGACTGGTCGACGATTCGTCTATCGCGGGAGAGCGTAGGTGAAGAGAGGGGATATATCAACTGCTATAAGGGAAAATACGATTTTTTCGTAATAACTTCGTATAGCATACATTATACGAGACGCGTTCCGGGAGTTACAGCGCACTTCCACAATATACGATCTCCTTGTTGAAAACTTCTTAGGTGACCCAGTTTAGGTGTCTGAATGCAATTTGAGCAGCACAGAACTCCCTTCTGCCACCCGCTTCATTTCGTGCTCCTCTTCATCAAGTTCAGCAGGATTGCTCCCGTGAAAGGGAGGGCAAAATGTGTTCGATCCGTTTCCAAAACATCCCTGATACGTGGAAAAATGATGGGTAAAGCATCAGTCTTTCAATCATACTCTATATGGAAAAATTCACTGCTTTCATCTTCGAGGCTCCAGGTCAGGCTCCTCTACAAGGGAGGTCTTTCAGGACATGGAGCGCTTTTCGAAATGGTTTTCTGCATGTTGTAGGGGCTCATGCGAGGAACACAGAACCATGATCCATTTTTCCTGAACGCCTCCAGGAATGTCAAAACAGTGGTGAAGAAATGGTCCAGAGTTCGATCCCCGGTGATGACTAATTTTTGCAATATAGTTTGGCGCCCCAGATTGCCCCAAATGGCGCCATCGTCGAGAATAGATGTCATTGTCGTGTTTTGCGGCAATTTGGAGGCGCCAACATAAATTGCAAAAATTTGTCATCACGGATCGAACTTTGGACCATTTCTTCCCCCTGTTTTGACATTCCTGGGGCGTTCAGGAAAAATGGACCATGGTTCTGTGTTCCTCACATGAGCCTCTACAACATTAGGAACCATTTTGAAAAAACGCTCCATGTCCTGAAAGACCCCCTTGTCAGTTGCTATCGGAAGGACGAGTTAGTGGTTGGTTCGCCCGAGATTCGATTAGAGATTCAGTTCCGGGACCATGTGCATGGTTATTGGGGCGAACTGTCACCTTCTCCTGGTTCCTGAAGAATCTTCAAAAAATGTGAAATTTGGATGAAGCTGTCATCATCAGAAATTCTTTTTGTGTAGTTGTGCCTGCGCTATCCCCTATTCGTAAGTGAAGCGCCAAATGTGAAGTAACTCCGTCAAATTTCAAAATAATGGCGGATGGCGTCTAGAACAAATATCATAAAGACCAGTCATTTGAACAGTCATGCTGGGTTTTCTTAATCGAACCATAAAACGAAGTCCCATGGCGTATCGTAGTCGACGGCTATAAAACGGCTCTGTGTCACTCGCGCCCATCGCCCTCGAGGTTCGTCGACAGATCATTCCCTAACGGTTTTATCACTCCGCTTGCGTGCAGTCCTTACCCCACTCAGTTTCAGGCATCGCTTGGCAAACGACGTCAGCTATGCTCGGCTTGCTGTTCCTCTTCCAGCTGCCCTTGGTGAGCCCCATATGTATACAGTGCGCATCGCCGACATTGTTGAACCAATGGCAACTTACTGGGCTTCCAACTCACCCCGACAACCTGCTATTCATTTCAGAGTCAGTCAGAATTTCCATTTCACCCCTCTATAACAAGTAAGTACCAACAGCACTAATGAGGTCTCACTGTTTCAGATGTAACACCGTTAATGAAGTCGACCCCCTTGATCCCAACGATCACATTACAATCCCGACCTGCTCAGGCGTCTGCTTCGAAATGGTCATTGCCGCCGGTTTGTGTTGTTCTTGAAAGCTGTC